CACAGTACTAATAAGGAAACTGTATGACTGTGTGGGTTTTGGAATATAACAAATGTATAAAAGGCAACACATAAAGAACTGTTAAACAGTGTTAAGTGTGTGTTTATATGTACAAATGTTTGCATAGATCATTCAGCAGTTGTATTTAATTTGATATATGTTCTCAACTCACACTTTAGTTATCTAGCAGTTTTGTACAATAGAATTAATTTGTAAACACTGCCAGAATATTTTCTAGCTGGTTTGTAATTTTTTAAGAGTTTTTTTACATGTGGATCTGTAAATAAAATTGTAGTATTTAAAGTTTTCATCTTGTGGAAGAGGAAAGTAAAAGTTGTGTGAGCATGAAGATTTGCGAGACAAAGGGGCACTTTTGCGAGGGAAGAGAAAATGAAGACTAATGCAGACCATCTTTTTTTTGTACAAATTAAACACTTGTCCCAGTGTGTGTGGGCAAAATACTAATCTAATTTAGCTTTGCATTGTATGCTAGTTTAAAAAAAAAACAAAACAAACCTCTGTAAAATACTGTAAAAAAAGAAAAAAAAAAACAACAAAAAAAGCTTTTATGGTGAGTTTTGTAAATAGATTTACTAAAGGGTGACATGTTCTCTAGCTGTGATCTTACCACTTCAAATGGATGTAATTTGAAGAAATTTTGTATGGTAATGAATCAATAAAAATTAAATTTTTTGAAGACTTTAGATTTGTATACAGCTATTTAATTTTTTCTTACTCTTGGTGCCTGTCATACTGTTTCTTGAAACCTGTTACTGTTTTCATTATTAGTGCAAACACCCATCTGATAGTTTCAATCCCATTTTTTTTTATGATGCTAACAAGTTCAGTGGGGTTTTTAAACCAGATTGACAAGAATAAAAGACATATGTTAAGAGACACAGCAGGTGATCCAGAGGTTGGGATTATACAAATTTATTTTTATTTATTCCCTCTCCTTTCATATGAATTAGGATCAGACTTCTTGCAAACACCATAGAAATGGTGTTACTGTAGGATTCAGTTGCTGAGGATCTGCTTAACCTGTGTACTGATATTTCTTCAGAAGTTTCCTAATAGTAGCTTTGAAATGAAGTGTTTTCTTGAGTCACTTCCAGCAGTCCCTTGTGCCAGACCTATATTTATGAACTTCTTTTCTGGTGTTGGTGCTGCACCTTTTTAGATACATGGCCATCCATCAACTGCAAAAAAAAGAAGAAGAAAAAAAAAGGGATAATAAAATCACAGTAATATGGTTGATTGCTTAAATGTTGTACCACTGAGCAAGTCATTTGTGTCTTGTCAACTTCCTGCACAGTAGGAGAAGGCTGTTACTTTCTTTCTCTGTGCACCTGTACATATTCAAACATCTGCACACAGCAGTACTGAAAGGAAGATTACAAAGGTCCTCTATATTCTTAATAAATAATAAAGGAGGCCTGGATATCTATGTTCTTTGATCTCCTTTCGAAGCAGTGGTAGCACTAAATAGCTGCTGTACCTCCCTGGCCTGTCCTCAGTTTCTCTGTTCTCCAGTTGCCATAAGCACTTTTTTATTTGCCCCTAGAATCTGCTGCTGATTACTAGTTTCTGTGTCATTTTCTCCTCTCCCTCCTTCTGCTTTCTGTATCTGCTTTGCAAAATTGGGATATGCTGAGGTGCAGAGATAAAAAAATCAGCCAGTTGAAATACTTACTCCCGCTCCTCCAGGCTAGCATGGTGTGCCTCAACATTATACAGTGTACAAGTATTAGTTCCAGGGAGGTTTTATTGGAGCATGTGTGTGCTGCATTCCTTGGCTGCCAGCAGATGGAAAAGGTTTTGGAAAAATCTGTCAACATAGCCTGAATGATAGGCAGCTATTTATTCTTTTACACACAGGAAAGGAGTTTGGGGAAAAAAAAAAAAAGAAAAAAAGGGAGGTTCGTGCTCTTGAACCTACAGTAAGTTCTCATCCACCTACAAATGACAAGAAACAGTCACTGTATTCCTTTTGATTGTACCTGAAAGAATAAATTGCATCTTGGTCTTGATGCTGACATGAACATTTCTGTTGTAGAAAGAATGAAAGATATGTGAGGTACTTTCTGTAGCATGAAAGAGCTATATGTTTAAAAGCACCAAATTTAATATATGCCTTTTTTTTCCCCTCTGTGAAACACAATTAATGCACAATGCCATCAGTGTTCATGCAGCCAACAGTTCTCAACACTGAGTGAACCACGAGGCTGTATAGCAAAGTCAGTGGAGTGATATTGACCAAAGCATAAACAAGCAGAATTCACCTCTCCATTCTGCTTTTCATGCTGAAGTAAGATCTGCCTGGATATTACTCTACAGCTAAGCAATGATCAGAAGAAAGCTTGCTTGGCCTTTATTAAGTCTGGGAGTTTCTTTACCCACTATTTTCTTTCTGAAACTTGACAGGAAGAAAGCATCACACATAACAGGAAAAAATGGGCTGTTACCAGTTCTGAGTGGTGCTGAGTGTTGCTCACAAATGATCAACCAGATTCTCCTAAATTTCAAGAGTAGAGAAAAAAAGATCTAATTTCCTGTGTCTTTCAGGACTCCTCATTTTTTTCTGAATACCTTCCCACCCATTTCTGCCCAGAACTGATGTTACTTATCAGAGAACTAGGTTGCCATATAAAAATTGAGCCCTCACCTCCCTGGCCATTTTCCTTCCCTAAGGATGTTTGTTGAGATGTTCTAAACCCACTAAGGACATATCTTCTACTAACATGACCTGCAGTTGAGATTTGGATTTAATTTTCCCAGCAATTTTTTGTATTTTTCCAGCTACCTATTCCTGGCAAATCCTAGGACTTCAGTTGATAACTCAGCCTGAGGCTGGTGCCTTTGAGTCTACCAGCCCTGAAGAGGAGGAGGTAAGGTCTGCAGGCAAGGATGAAATCTAAAGCACTTCTTTGGACACTCAAGGAGCTGGAGCATGTGTGCTGCCAGCACAGAGAAGGCCAGCACTGGAAGTTGTACTCCCAGCCACTGTCACATAAAAAGCAGTTTTCCCAGGTAGATATGGATAAACTTTCTTCCTGCAATCAGGAGGTAGTGGGGAATTATCTGCTCCCTTCTCTCCCTGCTGTCTGCGTGCAGGTTGCTAGGAATGTGCGACAAAGCAATTTCTGTTTGTGAGCTTCCATAGCGCTGGGAGAGTGCCTTCCAATTTGTGGCTACATCCTAGGGCTCAGCAGGACTGTGCTGGCACAAGGGCTGCTTGCTACTGTGAATTCTTGGCAGCAGGACAAGGTAAAGGCTCTGCGGGGTCATGCTGGAGCTGATCAGTGTGGCCTATTTATGTCACTAGGTACGGGACTCATGGGTTATTCCTGCCTGGGAGCTGCTCTTGGAGATCACTGCCTCCCCTTAATGAGTAGTGCTTGTCAGCGTTGGCCATTTGGAGATGTTTGGTTGTGTCTTGCAGGCTGTGCTTTGCTCCTTTAGTCAGCTGCAAAGCAGCACTGGTGTGTGCCCAGCTGGGTTTTCAGCCAGAGCAGAAACACTTGGCTGGTGGGCACAGCTGTGAGCGAGGGCAGAGCTGTGCTCCCAGAAGAGAGAAGATGAATTCAAGGACTGCATGTGGAATACTCTGAACATGGAAAACTGAAAAGAAAAAAGGAATCACTGCCCTTATGAGGCAGCAGTTAAAATGCTGATTGGGGATACAGACACCATTGCTACTGACCTGCTAGGGACTTCTTACTCCACAGGAGGAGGTCTAGAAATACATCAGTGTGGCTGCCCATTTTGAAATATTCTCCTTCATTCTCTCCTGGGCTAAAAATGCCACAAAAATAACAAATTACACATCAGACATGTCTCACTGAGAGCATCTTTGGAAAGTACATGTGTGCCTAAACAATGACCACATAGGAAGGCAAATATATCTTCAACTGTAACAATGACTCTATCATGAGACCATTAATAGTGCTCAGTCCTGCTCAGAATGATTTGTTTTTAAAGATTGAGTTAAGTAAAGTGCTTATTTCTTTCTGTCCCAGTTCTCTTCTTTAAATCTTATCTGTTCCTTTGTCCACATTTTCTTTTTTTTCCATTTTTTTTCTTCCTGTGATTGTTGTCAGATAAGCATTATATAAAGTAAGCACGAGTTTGTAAGAAAAAGGAGAGGGAGATGATATTTGTAATTAGAAGTTGCCACATTTTATCTGTGAGTGGACCAACAGACCTATTATCTAATACACTCAGGGTTTTCATTCACTTTCCCTCCAGTTCCAGGGAGATTATAATCTTCTTTTATAAAAGAATAAACTGATTCCAAAGGCTCCTTCTAAAGAGAGAAACTTAACATTTGAAATGCAACTACAGGAAATGACGACTTTTACATTCCAAAGCTGACTGCCTCAAAATAGAATATATCAAAGATACAATATCAAATACATAAATATACAATATCAAAGGTACAATATACAACAAAATAATAGTTTTGGGTTAACTGTGTATATGAAAGCCAAAGCAATAACGATATGCTCACTGTCTACAACACTTTGATCAGCAGGAACACTGCACACTTAATCTGCTCAGAGCTTTAGCTTCAGCCACCCAACAACCACACCGCTCTTTTACTTAACATCGATCAGAAAAGTTTGGAGGAAAACAGTGCCAGAAACTTCAGCCATCTGATACTAAATATTTTGACCAATATCGTTTATAGTTTATAGTATTCAGCAAAGTTGCTACTAGCATTGAATTTTAAGGAAATTAACGATGAAAAATAAAAATAAGAATAAAGAAAGCGCGTTGTGGCCAGAAGAGGACTGAATAGCTCATCACCCATTTGGTTCAGATAACCAGCATCGCAGGCGCTTGAACTGATAGGTACCGCTGGGATTGTTATTTTCCAGTTAAAACGAAGGTGAAATCCAAGGCTCGGGCAGACCGCGCTCTCAGTGGCGAAGCGACGGCGCCGCGCCCTCCACGCTGTTGTGGCCTCCGCCGGCCGCCGTCCTGGCGCCGCCGCGCGCGCGAGGCCTCGGGGCGGGGCGCGATGGCGGAGCCCGGGTGAGCGCGGGTGAGTGCCGGGGTCGGGCCGGGCCCCGGCCCCCTTCCTTTCCGTCCGCTCCCCTCCTTTCCCGTCCCGTCCTTCCCTCCCCCGCCTGGCTGTGACGGTCTGGCCGAGTTCCCCCTCTCCTGCCCGCGCGCTGCTCCCGTCCCCTGTGCGGCCCTGCAGGGCTGCGCGTTAAGTTCGGGAGGAGACGCAGGTCCTGGCGGGAATCTCCGCAGGGGTCGGCGGCCGGGATGCAGCTCGGGGATGGGGTACCCTCAGCGGGATGGAGGACGGGCAGGGGAGCCGAGCCCAGGCGGGCTCCGGGATGTGCGTGGTGCAGGCAGGGGCCGGGCTGCCCTCGCCCGTGGGCCGTGCTCCTGTGTGTGTTCATATATATATACATATGTGTGTGTATATATGTATATATTGTGTTGTTCGCATGTTTATGTGTATGAGGAGAGACTGAGGGAGCTGGGGCTGTTCAGTCTGGAGAGCAGAACACTGCGAGGGGTCTCATTAACGCGTATAAACACCTGGGCGGCGGTGCCAGACTCTTCAGGTGCCCAGAGACAGGACGAGCAGCAGTGGCCAGGAGTGAGCCGAAACGCAGGAAGTTTCACTTTAACAGGAAGAAGAGCTTTGCATTGAGGGCGGCAGAGCGCTGAACGGGCTGCCCAGCCAGGTTGTGGCGTCTCCCGCTCTTGACACGCTCGAGGCCCACGTGGGCACATTCCCGTGTGACCTCTCCGGGTGGCCCTGCCGTGGCAGGGCTGGATGACCTCTGGAGGTCTCTTCCAATGCCATCAATTCCGTCGTTCTGTGACACCTACATCTATACAGACATACACACATATACGTATGCTTTAAACTCGTTCTCTGTGTATCAACGCTGCAGTTTTCTTCTGCTCTGTGTGAGGCCGGGGATAAAATCCCGGGGCTCTGCCGGAGACACCTGTTGGTCAGTAGCTGAAAAGAGCTGTCCTCTTCCACCTGGATGGGAGTTCTCCTTTGGTATGTGTGGGAGATTGAGCAGGGGTGACCAAACCAGACTGGCACAAGGGAAGTTTTGGTTGTGACAAGATGTTAAAGCAATTCTAGTTTTTTATTTGCTTACTAATATTTTTTTTTAAAGAAAAATGTAGAGTTCTGTAGGTGAAGCTTGGCTGCATGAGAAGAATACGTTATCTTCTAATTTTGTTATCCCTTGTTATTGCAGTCCATTTACCAGAATAGCTGCAGGAATTCGTCTTTATTTTTGTTTTTTCCTTGTGAAGGAGATCTCATGCATGCATATGGAACTAGTGCAGATATCAAGTAATCTGTTTTAAAATAACTTCACAGTGTTTTAATTTTTAAAAAAAATTGTGAATGACTTGAACTAAAATTTGCTGTTCATCTTTCTCCCTTCTTTCATTCAAAAATTTAAACTGATGGAAGACAGAATCTGGAGGAAGTCTGAGATAACTTAAATACATCTGACTTTGATAAAAAAAAGGACTCTATAGAAGAAGAATAAAAAAACCAGTGCCACTGCTCAGGAGACAGGGAAAATGTGGGAACACTTCCACCTTGCCAGCCAGCATGTGTACCAGGTCCACATGAGGTCAAACTGAGCAAGGAATGTGTTTCTGCAAAGGGAGGATGAGTGCTTGTTGGACAATAACATGAATTTGTGGCTTTCTGTCTGCTAATTCTGCTTTTTCATGCCATATCTTTTTTCCTTTTTCTCTTCCTTATCCCCCCACCCCCCAGGTTTACTGTCCAAGAGGATTTATACCTTGCTTAAAAAGGTAGGAATTTTAGTTTGGCTGTATTCTTTCTTCCATGGGTCACTGAAATAAACTAAGCTTATTTGTTTTTCCAGCTGCTCCATTATATTGGACATTTTTTTGTAAGATAGAAGAAATGATAAATCAAAACTTTTTATTCCCTTCCAGATTTGATAACTTTACTTATTTATGCATATTCTCAGTGGTATATGTTAGTGTAAGAGATGTCACCTTTCTCTCGTGTTCTTTATTGCTCGACTTTTCACAAATGTTTTATTTTTGTTCAACTTTTGCTGCACTTTTGTATAGATCCTGTTTTTTTATCTAGAAGAATGCTAATTGCTGTAGTAGCTTGGGCTGATGCATCCTCTTTGTGACATGATTCTGTTCCTTTTTAAGTTAAATGCAGATGTGTGATGGTTCAGCTTACATGAAATTTTATTATGGAGAATATTTTGCAAGACTGACTGAAGTACACATTTTCCCAGTACATGCTGGGAAAATGCATGGGTGTTTAACTTCTTGTGTTCTTCAGTAATTCATTTGCAACACCTGGAAGTGTTTTTATGGCAGTAGCAAATAATTGGTTACTGAAGTATCAGTTTAAAGACATTAGAGCCTTAGTTTTTTGTTCTTCACTGTCAGTTAGGAAAGTGTTGTATTTTCCCTGTAAACTGTGGAATACCCTTGTATGATTTCCTTCGTAAGCTGTTTTATGTGAAACACCTGAGTTTCCAATGGTACTTCAGACTTTAATTAGGAGTTACAGCACAGTGTGGTGTGTGATTAATGCAGTAACTTTTTTTGCAGACTTTTCTAGCAAATGGCTTTTTTTGATTCCTGAAAACTGATCTGCATTTTCATATCTGCTGGGAGATACATATGCATATATGTTTAGTTTCTTGTGGAAAATATAATTGGATATTAGCAACCTTTTAATATATAATTCTAGCCAAATTACAGTATATATATTTTTTATTTTAGGTATAGTTGTTTAGGTATAGCTGTACCTGAATGAAATTCAGAAATTTTCATTTTACTGTCCCAGTGAATGAACTAATTCAGATGAAAGGCATGTGGGATAAGGAATTCTAGGAATAGTTTGGTTTGTTTTCAAAAGGACTGTGAAAACATATCTGGATGGTGTCCACACACAACTAAGAGAGCCAGAAAGATCTCTGGAGCAGTCACTTGGATTCTGTGCCTTTTGTTGTTCTTCTGTGGTGTGAGTGGAAGTACATCCATCCATCACACAACATGAGGTCACTATTTTATTATGATGCTGACATGATTAAAAATACCTGTGCCTTGAATGTGTCCTGTCAGAGGAGGTGAAGGGGTTTTGAGTTAGGAGATGAAAAGGAACAGATGATTTATAAATAAGCCCTTAAGAATCTGTATGGTTTATGACTTTCTTGCTGCCTGCATGTGGGGTATCGGGGGAAGAGGGAATTCAGCAAGTGTCTCTGGTAGTGGATTGTGTTTATGTACTCAGTGTCCCTCATATGTGTGATACATTGCACTTATGCTTAGAGATACATCTGACTTCTCTTTATGAGAAATGTGCTGTAGATACAAGGCCTTGGTTTTGTATTCAAATGCTTTCCTAATGCCAATCTCCTCCCAACACTTCTTGAAGATGCCTGCTGCCTGTGAGTCAGTGCTTGAGGATATTGAAGACATCGTGTCAGCAGAAGATGTGAAGCCCCACGATCGGCAGTTTGTGAGAAGGAATGTTTTTCCCAAGGTGCGAAAACGCAACTCCCAGAAAAACGCTCAGACGGATGATGAGCCCCCAAGTGACAGGTAAAGTCTTACATCGACCCTGTGCTGGTGCTTTTCTTGTGTCTCATGTGCACTTGTCAGATTTTAAAAATAAGGTGGAAGTTTGTGTTACATCTTAATGTAAAATCTGTGTACAAGATAAAAATGAGTAAAACAGTCCGTGTAGAATGTACAGAGAATAAATAATAATAATAAATAAAATAATAAGTAAGTTCCTTTTCCTAGACAGATTTTCTGTAGAAATCAGTTATCACTGAGATAGTGATGAATGGAATAATCAGACTGGAAAATGGTTTCTGTTACTCTTTTATGTGTAAAGGATTTCTGAAAAATTGTCTATTGAATCTTAATTACCTGAATATAATCTGTGCTCTTCAAAATGCAGTTCTGGAGTAGCCTTTTGACTTCTGAAATGACTAATAGAGACAAAATCCTGAGAGGTCCAAAAGGGTTGGGGTTGGAAGGTCATCTTTTCCAAACCTACTGCTTGAGCACTGCCACAAAGAACCAGTTGGCAGGACTCTGACGAGGTAGTTTTTGAGTATCTCCAGGAGATGGAGATTCTGCAGTCTCCCTGTGTACCCTGTGCCAGTTCTTGGTCATTCTTTGAGTGAAAAAGGTGTTTCCTGAGGTGAAGAGGGAACCTCCCACATTTCAGTTTGTGCCTGTTGCCTCTGGTCCTGTCACTGGGCACTGCTGAAAAAAATCCTGGCTGTGCCTTCTTTGCACTCTCCCTTCAGGTATTTATATACTTTGATGAGATCATCCTGAGCCTTCTCCAGGCAGAGCAGTCCCAGCACTCTGAGCTGTTTGTGTTAGGAGGTGTGTTCCAGTCCCTTCATGATCTTTATGGCCCTTTGTTGGACTGTCTCCAGTACATCCCTGTCTCTATTTTGGGTGCATCCTGTCAGGGTGCAGGGATTTGTGTATGCTCAGTGTGCTGAACTGTGTATTCTCTGACCCAGTCTCCTTTCATGAAGGGGTACATCAGCTTTGCTTCAGTCTTCAAACCTGTTTTCTGCATCCTGGGAGTTGCAAAGGCTGTACTTCTTATGTGTACATTCTGCAAGTAACATGGTAAAATTTCTTTTGAACTTGCTGTTTTATTTCAGTGGAAATAGTATGCAGTAATCATGAAATGCATCTTTGCATTTTTCCTACTTGTGATTTCCATAAGAACAGAATCAATTTTCTGCTGCAGTGGAATTGATTAGAGTATACATCAGCTCAGTTATTGATTTTAGTTTCTACTGCAGGTCTGAGATCTGGGTTTTTAAATTTTTTTTTTATTTTTTCAAACATTAATTTCAAGTTGGTGGATAAAATTTCCCTAGATGATAAAGATGAAAATAAATTGTGCATGAAAATTTAATTTCCTGTGGAGAAATAAAATTCTGGGTTTTCACTGGTGTTCAAAAGAGATTTTATAAGCATAACAATGCATTTTTATCTGCATGCCCCTAAAAGTGCATTGGCCCCAGTCTACCAGGAATGTATGGACAGCTGAGCTGGTGTTCTGTGGACACTTCACACAGGTAGTTCATGCCCCAAAGCGTTCAGGTACTGTATATTCTCTAGCAGGCTGTATTTTAGTGTTTTGTACCCAGGAAAGCACGTTGAACATGTGTTGTTTGGACAGCAGGAAGTCTAAATACCCTGTGTTTGCAGTTAATGATCATTAATGTTCCATCAACAAATTTCTATTTTTAGCTAGAGGAAGTTTCTGTTAAAAAAGAAGCATGGAGGGGGAGGGGAGGAAAAAAAAGCTGTAGGCAGGGCGCAGTATTGTGTTCCAGGATGTGTGGTGTTCTTGTACTGGCATCTTTAGCTCATTGGCAGTTATCCCAGGAATTTCAATGAGAGCTTCTTACAGAACTTTTTGTTGGTTTTTGGAGCCTTGTATGTGCTAGCTCCACACTGCATGTCTGCCATGCTGTTTCTGTAGCTTGGAAAGGTTGGGATGGGAGCTTTCCACTGTTTATGTGGCTGGTGGCCATCAAGTTAATTTATGGAGCTGGCTTGTGTGGAGGGAACTACAGTCAATGCATGCTGTAATATCAAAAGGTTGCAGTTTGTTTGCTGGTGGCCTAATTTCAGTGCTGTCACTTGAAGGTTACTTGTTACATGAGAACTTTGAGGAATTTAAGTTTGGGAATTATTTCTGTTGTCTATTTGTGTGTTTTGTTGGGGTTTTTGTTGTTGCTTTAACATAACTGTAATGTACTGGTTCTGTTGTTATCCTACAGCTCCTGCACCTTCTCCATGCTGAAATTCTTTCCTATCTCTTTTCTTGCTAATTGTGGTGGATTGACTCTACCACAAGGGAGAGAACTGGAAGAATAAAAGTGAGAAAACTTGTGGGTTGAGATGAAGACAGATAAAGTGAAGGAAGGAGCAGGGAAAAACCCCAAGTGATGCAAAAGCAGCCATTCGCCACCTCCCACAAGCAGACTGGTACCCATCCAGTCTCATAACAGTGGTTATTTTGGAAAGACCAAATGCACAGCTTTTATTGCTGAACATGATGTCATCTGGAATGTATTATCCTGTTGGTCAGCTATTCTGCTCGTGTTCTTCCCAGCCTGTTGTCCATCTGCAGCCTGCTTGTGGAGGGATGGAGCACAGTGGGAAACAAGCAAGCACTGTTCAATGACAGCTGGAACACCGTTGTGTTAACACTGTTGCAGCCACAAACACAAAACACAGCCCTACAGTGATTTTTGTTACTCTATCCCAGCAAGGCCTAATACCCATTACACTAAAATCACATAATTACTGTTTTTCCTCAGCTGTTTTAGAGTTGTTACTATTTGTGTTATTTTATATTTGAAGAATTACGGTTCATTCAGTCAGTTCAGTGGGCTAAAAGGGGAAGCTTGTTCATCATTTAACTTGTATTTCTCATTTGTTTTTACTTGACAGCATTATTCCTGGTGTTCAGAAAATCTGGATTCGTACATGGGGATGTTCTCACAATAATTCGGATGGTGAATACATGGCTGGACAGCTGGCTGCATATGGATACAAAATTACAGGTAATAGTATGAGTGAGCCCTGTAATTCAGTTTTTCTGGGGTGAATGTTCAGAGCTGTCAAGCTGTCATCAAATGTTTTCAGTCTTAATTATGCTTTTAAAAATCCCCTTCTGATACCTTTCTGATCTGAAGGTGAGGAGATAAAGTGTTTTCCTGGCATTAAGCAGAATGATTACAGGATGAGTGCTTTCAGAATGGTTAGATTTTCTTGACAGGGCAGACATCAAATAGATGCAATTCAGTGCTTTTTTTTGATGTTTTACTTGCTAAACTGAATTGAAAAGTTTTCATAAGAGTGGATGGGAAATGTAGTAATTCTTGGTTTTTAATTGTACTTGTTGGAACCCAAGGGGAAGAGGGAGGGAGCCAGTGTTTTCATTTGGTGATGTCTGTGTTTGCATTGGAGCAAAAGGTCCACTCCAGGTAAATGATATTTTGTTTCTGGAGGGATGATCAATATGATGGAGGTGGGATGATACAGGATTGTACCTCATAGGTTCCAAAGAGCTGAGAATGCTATTTCTCTTTCCCTTCCTGGTATTTTAAAATCTCCTCATTATCCTGTTCTGCCTCCCTAAGCCTAAAAATACCCCCAAACTTGTGGTTAGGCTGACCACATTTCATCTCCTTAATGCAAAATATGCTGACAGAAAAGTTGGACTAATACCATGTTTCAATATACAAGTATTATCTGATTTTTTCTGTATAGCTTTTGACTAGTCAAATTAGAAACTTAAATTTTGTTAATTAATTCAAGCTCAGGTGTGTCTTTCACCTAAACGTGTATACTGAAAGACTACAGAGTTGTCTGTCCTGACATTTTTCTAAAAACAATCCTCATTTCACAGAATGGTTTCCTGATTTTCACATGAACGTGTCACGATACCGTTAAACAGCTGCATCTCACTGTCCTTTATTGCTGCTGATCTTTCTTACGTAGAAATAAGACACTAAATTATTCAAGTGCTGAACTACTTTAGGGAACCCAAGTGATTATTAAATTAGTAGTACAGCTCTGGAGTACGTATGCTCTTTCCACAGCCAAGTGGAGTACTGGTCCAAAAACCCTTACTTGTGGCAGCTGTTAGTATAAGTTTGCAAATATGTTCTCATTATGGTTTTCTTAAATTTAATTGCTCTTTACCTTCATTGTTTTAATGCATGTTATTCCAGAAGCTACTTTTGGCTTGTTGAGATTCAGATGGCTGTTCTGTGCTTTTGGAATTTTACTAGGAGAGATGTAGGGAAGATGGGAGTGAAGTGAAGGAAGGAACTACGCTAAATTTTTGATACCTTTTCTTTTTTAGAAAATTAACTGTTTATTTAGAATAGAAATAAGTCTACATCTAGAGTCTGAAACTGAGAACTAAAAAGCCTAATAAAAGTTGCAGTTGCTGGGAGAGGAGTCCCAGAGAAATTTTGGTAGTTGTACATGAAATTGACCACTAGTTTCTAGTCATTATTAAATCTAAGTCTTGATTTACTTTGTGCCTAAATTAAATGTATTAAATGCATACATAAAAGCCTCAATGCTAGGTGATAGGCAGAAATTATGCAGTGTAGTTTCTTCTTTTTGAAATTAAGTAATTCTTGTCAGTCTGTTCTTAAGAAGGCATGTTTGGCTTTTTTTACATTTAGTCATCTGGGAAGTTCAGATAGAATGTCAGATAGGGATTTTATCCTTTTTGTCCTATACAGTGAAGCAGCTACTCAGTAATTGTTGCTTAAATGATCCAAATGTCAAATATTTCTTGTAATTAAACTTAATATTGTTTATGGTATGCAAAATTAAGAAGAAAATATTTTGTAAGAGCTATTTTGTAAATCAATCCCTGTGTTGCTAGAATTTGTTAGTTTTATGTAAAACTGTTACAATTTTGGGGAAAAGATTGAAATACTAAGATGAAAAATTGTGTGTTGTCACAGTGTCTTGGGCAGATATTACTTAAAAGTGCTTGGATTAACCTATTTCCTACATGTTCCTAAGCTTTTGAGACAACACTTCCTGAAAAGATGCTGGAATAAAGTTCTGCCTTTAGAAAATAGGATGTGAGCTTTACTTGCAGTTTTTGTTCCATTATAAAGGAGTCAAGCACTGTCTAATTGCAAGATTGGAAAAAAAACACAGAAGGAAGAAAAGCAGCATCAGACAGACTCCTGTTGCTAACTGGAAGTTGTAGCAATGCAGCCTGCCTTACAGGTTGACTTATCTGAAACTGAACATGGATATAATGTCCTCCTTGCTTTTCATGTTTTTCAAAAATGTTCTTTCTGTACAAGCACCCTTTGTTGCTTCCAGGAGTGTCTATATCCAAAGGTGAAAACTGAGGGCTGTACTTTTCACAGCAAAAATTCCTGCTCTCTGGGGAGAGACCAGTGTGAATCAGCAATATACAGATACTGCAACAACAGCAATGGTGATTAAAAGTCAGGGACTGCATCAGCTTAAAAATATGCAAAGGGAAACCAGCAGAAGAGCTGAACCTATTTTTGTATCTGCTTTTACAGTGTGAAGGTGGGCAACATTCTGAGCAAATCTTGCATACCATCCTGTGGGAACACAAAGCTCCTTTATAAGTCTGAGCCACACAGAAATGTGTGGACCAGCTGCTGTCAGTGTAGGGCTGTACCATGGGTAGTTGTTCATATTCTGGAAACGGTGTAGCTGATGGTGGCTTTACTGGTTCTAAAACTGGTTTTGGTTTCTTGGCAGCATGACTTGCTGTATAGTTTAGACATGCCTGCAGACCTGCTGGAGTGCTCCCTGTGAGATACGCCCTGGAGGAAGAAACTCTCATGGTACAGACTGCCTGTAATGCCTGCTGTGAAAAACAGGAAGTGGGCGAGCTGGGAGCTTTCAAATATTGTGAGCAAGATTCTTGTTTGGAAGGGACTTAAGTATGTTTGCCATGTAGCTTGCTTTCTCTCTGAAAAATGGAACTGCACATGTGTAGTCAGACGCTTTGAACGCTTTGACTTTTCAAGTGGATAGTTCTGTTCACATATGTTGACATCTATATGATTCTAGTTCTGTGGAATTAATGGGTTTTGGCCCAGCTTTGAATGCATTTTGGTGGATCAAGACATTAAGTACGCTTATTTCATACAGGTTGCTTCTGGCTCAGGGCTGTTCAGGTCCAATAGAACGCTTTGACTTTTCAAGTGGATAGTTCTGTTCACATATGTTGACATCTATATGATTCTAGTTCTGTGGAATTAATGGGTTTTGGCCCAGCTTTGAATGCATTTTGGTGGTACGCTTATTTCATACAGGTTGCTTCTGGCTCAGGGCTGTTCAGGTCCAAAGCATTCCCTCCTGTGCAATTGTAAAATATGGTGGGGGCATTGCTAGTAACTTAGAAATATCAGAAAAATGATCATTAACTTTTCTGATGAAGACAAAGCAAAAACTTTGTCAGTGAGGCTAAACCAGTCACAGTTTATCTGCACTACACTTTTGTGGGCTTTTCTGATGAAGACAAAGCAAAAACTGTTATCAAACATTCAGTGAGGCTAAACCAGTCACAGTTTATCTGCACTACACTTTTGTGGATCTTAGAAATAAATGCTAGCACAGATCATACTCCTCTAGCATGGGATTCTACAGACAAGAATTGTTTCTGCTAAGTCAGTGGGCTTGTCTTTGATGTAGCACTTAGAGACTGGCTTATGTTACAGATCTTTAGCTTTACTTGTGCAGTTTTAGACAAATCTGAAATTAGTTCAGGCATCCTATGCACTGTCTCAGAGATTTCTTCTGTAACAGTGTTGGGTGCAGAGTTGCTGTGTAGAGTTCACTCCATTATTGTGTTTACAAGTTGGCAGGACTTGTATCAGTGAGACTTGCCAATTCTTACTGTTTATAGTCTAAGTTATATGTCTTACACCTCTGTAACTCCCTGTGCAGAGACTTTATGTATTTCTTTATAGCAAATATCAAATAATATTTTGAAATCTTGTTGAAGAAGTTATCTGGGGTTGTTTGCCTCTTCTACTTGTTAATTTTCTAAACGTTGTCAGTTTTGCCTACCAGTGGATATAACTGAGGTATCATTAAGACTCTCCATCTGCTTAAACAACACATTTGAGTAGAAGAAAGAAGGAAGAATGCAAGGAAGAAAGAATGATCTCCTTAAGACCTCATGTTAAAAGAAGACAGGTGTAAAAGGAAAGAGTCTGCTGTTGAAAATCAGATGAGGTGCTGCAATCTAAAATGGACTTCAGCGTTTAATAGCATTGTCTCATGTTCATTGTGTTGCATAAGCCATGCTTGTGTAGACTTTGGCCATCCCCTTGCAGATGCAGCAAAGCGTGCTGCAGCATGAATTTTATTCGTCCAAGTGCAAAATAAAGAAAATTACTCAGACTGTACAGGTATTGATTCCTTCAGTATCTGGTCCTTTGTTTCAGGTGTTGTCTTAAAAGTACTTTTGTACCACACAATAAAATTTTAATACTAGATTTTGATTTATTTTATTGTTTTAGGGATCTCTTTAATAGGTTACTGTATTATTAAAATAAGCTCTCTGCAGCCTGCATAGTGGTTGATGAAGTATTTTGACTAAGATCTCTGCTGGTTTCCAGTGTATGCTTTTAGTTGCTCAGAACCAGCAGTTGGTCTTTCCATTTTTTGCTCTCCACCCTGCTGATAATGCTCATCTGTTCCTTCATGAGTATCATGTGAAATGGTAGTGACTACTGTGTAATTTTTGGGGTGAGCCATCCTCATTGTGAGGTATTTTTAGTATTCTTCATTAAACTAAAAGACAAATCTTTATTAGCTGCTCATGAAGTGCCTTATTAGTCAGAGAATTCAAGGTTAGTCCTTGTGTTTGGATTTATACTTTTCAAAGGGTTGTGAGTGCAGTTCCAATTTAGAAAGAAAGGATTGTAAATTATCTTTTCTCGAGGGGCAGGGTATGCATGGTGTGTGCTAAAATATGCAAAATACCCCACACTACTTTTCTGTTGATGAGAAATGATTCTGTTTTCTCTACAAC